ATTATGTCCAAAGGTTCTTCGACTTCCCCGAAGTATGTTATGCAATGGTCATCTATTTACATTTTTCACCTGTGTGTGTGTGTGTGTGTGTGTGTGAGAGAGAGAGAGAGAGAGAGAGAGAGAGTTTGAAGATGCAAATAAAATCATTCTTATCATTAAAATGGCTCATGCATAGGGCACTTTCTACTCTTGTTTGAAATGTGAATGATTTAAAATATCTGTAGATTAAATATTTTAGTTCAGAAAGGTCCATCTAGTAATTGGTACTAATTAAGGAGGTTTTATCAATCCCTGAATCTAGGGGAGGGAGGCATCTAACTGACCCTGGGTGGCCACAGCATGCCAGAAAGCTAGAGGTTCATCTAGAAACAGCTGCTGGAGACAGCAGGGCATAAACGGTGGCCTCAGGGTGGAGGTTCTTCCTGGGACAGCCAGACTGCCCAGATGGCCTTTCCAGAGCTGGGAGATGCAGACTTGTCACTGAGGTGGAGGGTAAAAATAGTCCTGTGTGGGTGGCAGCTGGGCCCAGAGGCACCGGCTTCCTTGTCTCTAGAGTAGAGAAGGCAGCCCAGTTGACAGATAACTTCTTAGGCTCCTCAGGCCTTCCCCCAGCTCTGGGGGCTGGGGACGGGGTGTCCTTCCTTAACAATAAAGCTTATCCACACACCCCTATCCACACGCCAGGTGCTGGAAAGAGCTGGGGTTGGGTTTTAAGGTAGCAAAGGGCTTATATCCCGGCTGTGTCCAGCTCTGTGTCCTCCGGCAAAATCTCTCTCCTTCCTGGGCCTCCATTTTCTCATCTGTCAAATGGGGCTAATGATTTCTCTCTCTGTAAGGTGGCTGTGAAGCTTAAATAACAAAGACGGCGAGCACATTTTACACTGCCACCTCTCTTATATGCCTCTCTCCCTCCTACCAGTTGCTCACTATCCAGCACATTCTTTAAGAGTGGCTCTGAGGCAAGCCAGCTGCCATGTCAGCCCCATAGAAAGGTCTACATATACTGGAACTGAGGCTTCGAGACAACAGCCACGTCAGCTCAGTAGCCAGTCCTCTACCCCCAGGCAAGCTCCCTGGCCACCACCCTGGCTGCAACCTCATGACATACTCTGAGCTGGAAGCTCCCGGCTAGGCTGCTTCCAGCTTCCTGACCTTCCGAAAGCCATGTGAAGTCACAAATGTTTGCTACATTTGGGGATAAGCTGTGACGCAGCAGTAATAACTAAGACGCTTACCTTTCAGGGTTGTTACACGAATTAAGAGTTGATGCACATCAAAGAGCAACCAGACTTACTGAGACCAGTGGCTCCAGAAAGGGCAGAAGGGAGTAGCCAGGGAAGGAGCATGAGTTAGGAAGCCTCTGTCCAGGTCCACGCCAGGCAGCCCCCCCCCTCCCCCCCCCGTCCAGAAGTCTGGCGAGGAGTCTGAGAGACCCAATATGCCAACAGACAATGGCCTCGCCGTCTATCAAAATAGAACTCTGATCCACTCCCTGCCGTAACAGCCAGGGGGGCGAAGCCCTCTCTGCTGCAGGTAGCCCAGGCAGTCAGCCCAAACACAGCCAAAGCTGGACCACTAGCTGACAGCCTCCCTTAATTTTGCCCCCACATCTGATGTACGACAAACTGGAAAAAGTCCGATAGGCTCCCCTAACCAATCACATAGGGACCCTCCTTCTAGTTAGCCCACCTACAGCTTCCCCTTGCTGCGAGCCTCTGATCTAAGCCTGAAGCCTTCCCTTTGTCCCACTATAAAGCTTTCCCATTCTTCTGCCGGCCTTCAATTCTCTGCCGAACTCAAGTGGTGGTGGCTGACTCCCTTGGAGTAGCAGCCTCGGGAAACACAGCCTTTGCATCTTCTCATTTGGGTGGTCTTTATTTCCACAAGCCTATGTTCTTTCTCTGCCTTCCCTACCCCCGGGGTCAAAGACATCTTCGTCTTCCCCCAGGCAGCCACAGAAACCAGCTCAGGGATGATGGATGTGGGTGGGGCAGGAATAACGAAGAATGTAGCTTTGGAACAGGACAGATCCCGGCTCAAATTCTGGCTCTGATGCCTAACTAGCTGTGTGATCTTGAGTGAGCCAATTAACCACTCTGAGCCTCTGTTTTTTCATGTCAAAAGGACAATCCAATGGAACCCAAGGGCTGGGGTAAGAATTCAGTGAGGTAATAACACATTTAATGCCCTGAGCATATAGCAGGTACTTCATAAATGGAAGGCCAGCCATCCTTCTCCTCCCAGCCTCCTGCTGGACAGGCAGGCCTCTGTTCCCCATGGTTCCTCCTCTCACTCCTGCTTTCTGTGCAGCAGGCAGCCTAACCTCAGGTGCATGGAGTCAATCAAGAGCATAGTCTCCACGTCCAGGGTATGTCAAAGCTCAGGGGTTGGTCTTGGGAGAACAATGGACAAAGGACATAACCAAGCATTTCTCTAAAGAAATCCAACTGGTCAAAAGCAGAGGACAAAATATCTGGCCAGAAACCTGTTGTCTCCCTGTTTCATCCTGGCTCTAAGTGCCCTTGTGCCAGACAGCTTTCCCCGAACTGAGGAGGGTGAGCCAGGTCTTCTTCCCCCAATCTCTCCTGTGTGTCTGTGTATGTCTAGTTTCTTTGTCTCTAAAATGAGAAATGTAATAGCTTCCCAGGAGACACATGCACAAGCACATGCACACACGTGAATCAGTTCTAATGGTGGAGTGGTGGCTTTGAAATGCTCTATGCTGGGGCATCCAGAGTCCCCTCACTCCCACTTGCCAAACCCTCTCCATCCCTGGGTCTCTCCCTCCATCACCACCAGCAGAATCCAAGCTTCCAGCAGCATTTTCTGGCTGGATTATGGAAAAGACTCCTAAATGCTTTCGCTCTTTCACCAGAGCTCAAAGAATGCAAATTACACAAGGATGAGAAACCATCCCACATCCCATAAACTCAGACAAAGATTTTTAAAATAATGACAATAAACAGAATCAAGGGCAATGCCTTCCTTCCCCACAAGGCTGGAACGTAAACTGGTATATTTCTAATACATTTTTAAAAAGATTTACATATATATATATATATATATATATATATTTTTTAGAGAGAGAGAGAGAGCACGCACGTGCATGGGGGTGGGGGCAGAAGGGGCAGAGGGAGGGGGAAGAAAATCCTCAAGCAGACTCTGCTGAGTAGGGAGCCCAAAGCAGAGCTGGATCCCAGGACCTTGAGATCATGACCTGAGCCAAAATCAAGAGTCCCATGCTCAACGGACTGAGCCATCCAGGTGCCCTCTAAACTGGCATATTTCTGCAGAGCAATTTGGTAGGATGTAACCTTTTGATTCTGCAGGTCCATTTTTTCAAAATGTAAAGAAAAAAATTCGACTATGGAAAAATCTGCACAGACTTCGTTACGAGCTCTTTATGGTAATATTGCTTCCCCTGCAAAAAAGTGAGGGGACAACGAAAATATCCAAAAATAAACACCTTCCTTAAATAAATTGTAGTAGTCTCTATCTTGAAACACCACTCCTTCACTTAAACTGGTATTACAGATAAGTAGTTCTCAAAGCATGACCCGGAGAAGCTGCAGCAAGAGTATCACCTGGGAATTTGTTAGAAATGCACGTCCTGGGGCCCCCATCCCCAATCTGCTGCTTCAGAATCTCTGATCTGGTCCACCTGGGTTGTTGAGAGTCTGCCTTTGGCTCAGGTCCTGACTCTGGGGTCCTGGGATAGAGTCCCACATCCGGCTTCTCGCAGCAAGCCTCTGCCTATGTCTGCCTCTCTCTGCGTGTCTCTCATGAAAAGATAAAATCTTTAAAAAAAAAGAAAAGAAAGAAAAACTCTAAAACTCAGCCATCTGCGTTTTAACAAGTCCTCCAGGATACTCAGAACCACTGCTGTAGATGAATATTTATCACTAAGAAAAGATACATAAATGACAAAGGGTTGCAAAACAACAGGTACAAAGCAGTAGGTATGAACAGTGCATCTCCATTTGAATATACGTATGTATTGAGACACACAAAGAAAAAAAGCCTAGATTTTTTTTAAGGTTTCATTTATTTATTCATGAGAGACACAGAGACTCAATCCCAGAATCACCACCTGAGCCAAAGGCAGATGCTCAACCACTGAGCCACCCAGGCGCCCCAGCCCAGAAGACTTTGTACCAAGGCGGTAAAGTCTACACTCTGGATGTTACAGGATTATGAGGTTTTAGATTTTGTTCATTTTGCTAATCCATATTTTCTAAGCAGTTTACAATGATGCGTTTTTGTAAAAAGGAATGGGGGGGGACCGCAATAACTTCTTTTTAAACTAAAAAAAAAAAAAAAATCAAGCGGGGTGGGGTGGGGGCGAGGTGGGAAGGAGGCAGAGAGCACGCCCGGCCGCCGCCGCAGCCTGCAGCCCCGGGACAGCGGCGAGGCGCGGGCAGGGGCGCGCGGGACCGCTGGGCACCCAGCGCCTCCGCCCCGGTGGACGAGGGAGAGAGGCTAGGGAGGCCGAGGCCGGGGGTCACAGCTACGCCTCCGAAGTCGAGGAAGATTTACTAGGAGCAGAGAAGCGCACAGACTTCAGGAAGAACCTCATCCCAGAATGGGCGCCTCGGCGAGATCTTCCGCCCCGGAACCTCCCGCCGCCGCCCCCGGGGGCGAGACCTCCGCCAGCGCGGGGCGGGGCCGCCCGCACCTCCCACCGCTTGCAGCCCCGGCAGTCCGGGGGGCGCTGAGCCCCTCCCCCGCGCCGCGCGGCCTGGGTGGGGGCAGGGAGGCGGCGTGGGGAGCGGGGGGCGGGGCCGTTGCTAGGGGAGGGGCGCGGGCGGGCGAGCACGGCGGCGGGCGGCGGGCGGCGGGCGGCGGAGGAGAGCGCTCGGCTCTCGCGCTCCCGCTCCCGCGCCGCCTGTTGCTCGTTCCTCCGGGCCGCCGCTTCCCGCCCGGTGCCCAGGGGCAGGCGGCCCGAGGGCTGCCGGCGCGCGGGCGGCCTCCCGCCGCCCCCTGTCCCCGCGCGCCGCCGGGCCCCGGCGTCTCCGTGAGCGCGGCTGCCGGCCGGCCTCCCCGTGCGCCCCGGGCCGCGCGCGCCGAGGGACCCCGGGCGCCGAGCGGCGATGAACGCGACCTTCCTGAACCACAGCGGCCTGGAGGCGGCCGGCGGCCTGGGCGGCGGCGGCGGCGGGGCCGCCCTGGGGAACCGCAGCCACGGGCTGGGCACGTGGCTGGGCTGCTGCCCGGGGGGCGCGCCGCTGGCCGCCAGCGACGGGGTCCCCGCGGGGCTGGCGCCCGACGAGCGCAGCCTGTGGGTGTCGCGCGTGGCGCAGATCGCTGTGCTCTGCGTGCTGTCGCTCACCGTGGTCTTCGGCGTGTTCTTTCTGGGCTGCAACCTGCTCATCAAGTCGGAGAGCATGATCAACTTTCTGGTGCAGGAGCGCCGGCCCTCCAAGGACGTTGGCGCCGCCATCCTGGGGCTGTACTGAGGCCCCCCGCCCCCGGCCGCCGGCAGACGACGAGGGAGACCCGGACCCTCGTGCCCGGCACGGGCTGTGCCGCCGCCGCCGCCGCCGCCGCCGCCCCCGGGCCGGCTGCGCCAGGGACTGCGACGGGCCTCGGGGCGCCCAGGACCGGGACAGCGCGGGACTCGAGGCGGCGGCGCGGGAAGGGACTTCCACACCCGGCTCGCCCTGTGTGCGCCTCGGCGGGGGCGGGGGTGGGGGGGCGAGGTCACGCGCGGGGGAGTTTTGCGTGTCTGTAGAGGGCGCGATGCGGGACGAGTTGCGGGCGGGAGGAAGTTGGGGACCCCGAGGCGCTGAGCTTGTCGGCCTGATTTTGCTTTTGAAAAGAAACCTCGTAATAAACCTGCAGCCGTCGGACTCCCGGCGGCTTCCCCCAGCGCCTCTGCGGGGTGTGTGTCTGTGTTGGGGTGTGCGTCGGCTGGGGCAGGTGTGGACAGGTGTGGGCGGCCCCCCTGGGCCGCGGGGCCGCCTGGCTGCGGAGCCGTGGGGGCCGGTCCGGGGCTCCTGAGACCCCACTCCGAGGAGGCCAAGGAGGCGGCAGCTTCGGAGGGGACGGGGCTGGCCTTGCAGGGCGGCCAAACCGCTGGTGAGATTATTTAAATCTTTGGGAAATTTTAATCTATTACGTGAGATTAAAAAAAAAAAAGTCCCAGTGATTTAAGTGCAAAAGGGGAGAACAGTAAAATGAATCTATCGGGACCGTGAACAAAATTTAATGGTGGGGGGAGCTAATTCTAGTTAAATTACAGGGCCAAAAGTCTCATCTAAGGGCTTGTCTGGACCTCACCTTTATAGAGTGTGGACTAGTAGCAGTAGGGCGCTGAAGATATGCCTTCGGTGCACAGGAAGTGGGGAATGCAAGTTTGGGAGGGGGCTTTGTGGTGCAAAGACCCTGGGAAGGTTTAAAATGCAGAAAATGGCCTCCAAATGCAGCTGAGTTCAGGGAATTTGGAGCCTCCCATTATGAGATGCCTCCCGCTGCCCAGAACCCTGCCATTTATTGCAGATGCAGAATTAACTTAAAGCAGTGTTAATGCCTAAAAACCTAGGCACTACTGGCCCAGGGGAGTGGGTTGGCTCTGTTGTCTGGTTGGGGGGGCGGGGGGGGGGTGGCTGGAAACCGGGAGGAGGGCAGACAGGAGGAAAGAAAGCTGGGCTTTGTAGTCTATATATAGACCCCATAGTCCTACCCTGCCCCCTCTAGGCACCTTGGTACTTGGAAGATTAGGGGATGGGGAGGGGGCTTTAATGGATTTCTCCCTATCCTCTCTTTGGCCATGAGTGGAACTGAAGGTGAACGATAAGGAAGATGGCTGAAGCCTTTCTTGGCTTTGGGAAAGGAAGCGAAGAGAAGACTATCCCCTGTCTTCAGCACTAGTTCCACACCAGGAGAGGGGACAGTTTCTCAACAAAACCATAGATGATCTCTGACAATGAAGAATCTGGAATCTTCCTGGGTCCTGAGTCCTCCTGGGTGGTCAGAATCCTCATCCTTGGACATGTTACCTTCCCACCCACCTCCCCATCTCAATCTCAAACCCAGGAGAATTCATCCAGTTTGACGGTCAGGCCAGTAAACTATTTGTGAAGTGTCCATGGGGCAAAATGTTCTCTACAATGTGAAGAACATTCTCTTGATGGTTTGGACAGGCAGGTAGCCCGGCGCCATCTGGGGAGAGCAGCCTTTAATGATTTGGGCAGCCTGGGTATCCGGCCTCATGTAGTACAAGTGTCTGGGGCCTAGGCTGACCCACTGCCTGGAGCACAGAGCTCTGACAGCCACAGGGGTTCCCCTAAAACCAAAATGACTGGCAAGTGGAAGTTCTTTTTTTTTTTTTTTAATTTATTTATTTATGATAGTCACAGAGAGAGAGAGAGAGAGAGAGGCAGAGACACAGGCAGAGGGAGCAGGCTCCATGCACCTGGAGCCTGACGTGGGATTCGATCCCGGGTCTCCAGGATCACGCCCTGAGCCAAAGGCAGGCGCCAAACCGCTGCGCCACCCAGGGATCCCGCAAGTGGAAGTTCTTGGAGGAACAGAGGTTCAGACACTTTCTGGCTGACAGAGACTCAACACTGTGAGAACTTTCCTCTAATGACACGGATCTGGTACTGTGACCGAGGCAAGAGGAGGGCATTCAAGAGTTAAGGTTCCTGAATTTGCTGAAAAAGGAAAGTCGTAGTGGGGAAGCCTTATTCTCTCTGTAAGGGGGAAAAAAAAGGCTAGTGAAGACATCTGTGTGCCAACATGCATATCAGTGCTCTCCATTCCATGACTAGTACCCTTGCATGTGCAGATACACACGGGTGCATGTGCATGAGTGTATGCTCTCACATGCAGGCCCACTCAAAGACAGGCTCAAGCCTTGAGGACAACAGCGAGCTTGAGCGGGGTCCTGGGAAGGGGTGGAAGGCTAGATCAGTCAGGCTTCAGTTCTTTCCAGGCCCTGATGTCCCCCAGTGTTTGCTGAGCTGTCTCATTTAAAGTGTGGGGGTGGGGCTGCCCCCGGGGACTCAGCGGTTTAGCACCGCCTTCAGCCCAGGGCGTGATCCAGTCCCGCATCCGGCTTCCTGTATTCAAGAGGAGCCTGCTTCTCTGCTTGTGTCTCTGCCTCTTTCTGTGTCTCTCATGAATAAATAAGTAAAATCTTAAAAAAAAAAAAAAAAAAGTGTGGGGGTGGGGGAGAAACGCCCAGTTACATAAGAGCGCTGGAGGTCTGGTGCTGTTGGGGTGGGGGGCAGCGGGGAAAGGTGAGGCTAGATCAGAATCCTGAGCCTGGATCTTGGAGGATGGAGGAGGGCCCTCCTCCAAAGCCCTTTCCCCACCCCCACTCTTGAACAAGGAGAGCTCCTACAAGCCCTGCCCAGGATGCTGGGCCCAAATCTTCCCCAAGTCACAAAAGATGACCTGGGATCCTGGTATTTGAAATCTTAGCAGCCATGCGTCCTAGCTCTGTGACTCTGGAGAAGTAATTCAACCTCTCTGTGCCTAGGTTTCCTCATTTATAAAATGGGAAGCAACCGACCCAAGAGCTCCCAGGAAATGATGTATGTAAAGTAGCCAACACAGTGCCTGACATGTAATAGATAATAAAGATGATTGTTGTGATTATTGCTATTTTGGTTTATTGTGTGAACTTTTGCCTCAGCCGGATGTGTTTGGTTCTCTGAAATGGGATCCCTGGACAGAAAAATAGTCATTCATATTTGCAAAGCATACTGTAGTCTCCAAAGCCCTTTCATAGGCAGGACAAACATCATGTATCATGTATTAGACAATGTGCCAAGGACTGAGCTCCCACCCTTGTAAGGAGGGTTTCATTAGTACTCCCATTTTACAGATGAAGAGACTAAGGCTCAAAGAGGTGGCCTGATGTCACAGAGCTAAGAATGGGCAGAGCTAGGATTCAACCCTGCCTGTGTGACCTCAGACTCAACTCTACGTGGGCCCGCTTGCTCTCCACACCAGGTTAGTGAGCAAGGACAGGCATTCTCCCGTGTGCATGCTTGGAGGAGACTTGCCCAGGTTCATTCATTCACGCAGTGTCTATCGCGAATCCGCTGTGGACCGGGTATCATGCCAGGACTGGTGTGAGCAAGGGGATGGTGGAGCTAGAGTCTGACTCAACCTGCAGCCCTTGAAGCCCCAGATACTCACATCACTTCTCAGGGGCTGGAGGGCTGGTTGCCCTGATATCAAGGACTAGGGATAGTCTTCCCTCTGCTTTCCTCCCTCTGAGTCAGGGATGCAGTCTCTGGGGTCAGGTGCCCTTACTAGGAAGACAGCCCCTGGAATGGAGGACAGTAGGGAGGGCTTCCAACACAACATCCACCCAATTTCCCACTTGTCCGTTGGAGTCCACTTCACACGGCCATGCTCAGCGGGCTACTAGAAGTCCCCTCGCCCTCAACCTCCCCAGACCCCAATTCAGCAGTAGACCAAGAGTAGCCTTGAGCATTAGGGAGGTTTTAGAGGCAAACAGTGAAGGGTGATGGTTGTGGGTACAAACAAAAATGGCCCACACAGAGCATTCCAGTCCGGGGAAAAGGTGTATGTGTGCATGAGCACAATCACGCATACACACACGCTTTATACAAAGGACTTTAGTAGGATTTCTGAATAGCATCTGTTGGGTGCAGCTCATGATTTTCTCTTGGTAGTCCAGGTCACAAGGGGTGTGTGGGATGTCCAGATCCCTAAACCCCCGAGGCCAGGTAAGCATCTAGGCCTCTGAGATGGCAGTTGAGGGAGTATCCAGAAGCAGCACCTGCTTCCTCTTGCAGCCATATGCCTTTCCACTCAGGCATCTATAACTTCAGTCCATAGATAAGGAGAGTTTAATCCATGGGGAACACTCTAGAATTTTCAGGAGAAAAAAAAAAAAGGCCAACCAAGTCAGAAAACTAGCTCTTTTAAGATTGTCATCTGGCTTTCTGTGTGTCCTACCGTCTTAGAGGAGCCATCAGTGGGTACTGGCAGCCTTGAGAGGGACCCACACATAACATGGAGCCATCCACACGTAGGCTGACCCAGGTGGGCAGGCCAGTGGACATCTCCTGACACAGACACACCTTCGGACACAAGAGGACTTGAATCATTATTTGCATGCTTCCTTGTGCTGTATTCCACAAACCAGATTACAACAGTGCTAGACTATCTTTTTTTATATGGTTGCTCTGCTACTCACTTTAAGGACATTATCTAAATTCATCCCCATAACAATCCTTTTAGGCAGATATCAGCATTATCCCCACTTTACCTTTTACTGATGATGAATCTGAGGCCCAAAGAGGTTAGGTAGTGGGTTCAGGGTCACACCCGCACCTAAACCGTGGCACAGGTGACATGTAAACCTGGGCCTCAGGAGCATGCCAGCCAGTTCCAGTAGGGCCCGAGTGTGTCCTAGATAGCTCTCCTGCTGCTGCTGCTGCTGCTGCTGCTGCTGAGGACGTTGCTAAGCTGAGGGCAACTCTGCCTTCAAGATGCCGATAACTCGATTATGGAACAACCAATCACACGGGGACTCAGTGGGGTCCTCCTCTGTGCCTCCACTTTTGGGGGGGCAGGTAGCCAGTACCAGCCAGTAGGGTGTGGGGTTCTGGTGGGTGCCTGCAGGCTAGCTGTGAACATGGGTTTCTCATGGGGCCTGTCTGCAGCAGAATGCTTGGACAGAAAGCCCAGGACAGGGGACCAGGACGCTGATGATGACACAGCCAGCCGGGCAGAGGCCAGCCTCCATCACCGTTGGTCATGCC